ATCCCATGGGGGAGATCCCATGGAGGAGATCCCATGGAGGCGATTCCATGGGGGAAATTCCATGGAGGAGATTTCATGGGAGAGATCCCATGGAGGAGATTTCATGGGAGAGATCCCAAGGGGGATATCCCAAGGGGGATATCCCATGGGGGAGATCCCATGGAGGAGATTCCATAGAGGAGATCCCATGGAGGAGATTCCATGGGGGAGATTCCATAGAGGAGATCCCATGGAGGAGATTCCATAGAGGAGATCCCATGGGGGAGATCCCATGGAGGAGATTCCTTGGAGGAGATCCCATGGAGGAGCCCCCATGGAGGAGATTCCATAGAGGAGATCCCATGGAGGAGCCCCCATGGAGGAGGGAAAAGCGAGCAGTTTGTTCCTGATCAGCTCTGAGTTCCCCATGTAGAATCAGGGAATCTCCTGAATGGAAAGGGATCCACAGGGATCATCCATCCAAGCCCTGTCCCTGCCCAAAATCCCACCCTGGGCATCCCTGGAGCGCTGTCCAAAGGCTCCTGGGCTCTGTCAGCCTCGGGCCGTGCCCATTCCCTGGGCAGTGCCAACATCTCTGGGGAAGAACCTTTCCCTAAATCCAGCCTGAGCTGCCCTGGAACAGCTCCAGCATCCCCATGTCCTGTCCCGGGTCACCAGAGGGAATCCTCCTGGAGATTTGTCCTTTTTGGAAAGAAAATAATTTATTTATTGGCCAAAAAAATCTCTCAGGTGGAAATGGAGCCATTCCAATTCTGGGCTCCGCATGGGAAGAGAGACCTGGAGGGGCTGGAGCATGGCCAGGACAGGAACGGAGCTGGGAAGGGAATGGAGAGTTCCTGAGGGAGCTGGGAAGGGAATGGAGAGTTCCTGAGGGAGCTGGGAAGGGGCTGGAGAGTTCCTGGGGAGCTGGGAAGGGAATGGAGAGTTCCTGAGGAGCTGGGAAGGGAATGGAGAGTTCCTGAGGAGCTGGGAAGGGAATGGAGAGTTCCTGAGGAGCTGGGAAGGGAATGGAGAGTTCCTGAGGGAGCTGGGAAGGGAATGGAGAGTTCCTGAGGAGCTGGGAAGGGAATGGAGAGTTCCTGAGGAGCTG